TCCGGCTAGGAGGTTATTTCAAGAGACATGCAGGAAAGGGTTACAGTGGGATGAACCATTAAGTGAGAGGCAGAGAGAAGAGTGGAAGGGGTGGGTTAACAGTTTAAGAATGCTGAATCTACATTCCGTCTCACGTCCACTTAAGCCGTCGAGAAATCATGATATAATTGACTTCCATGTTTTTTCTGATGCCTCTGAGGTTGGATTTGGTGCAGCCGTATACATCAGAACCACCTTAAGGAATGATATAGATGTTAGCCTGGTGATGGGTAAATCTAGAGTTGCACCTCTAAAGACGGTTTCGATTCCGAGATTAGAACTTAATGCCGCCTTACTAGCTGCGCAGTTATTCACAACGGTGTGTAAAGAGTTGGATTACCCCAAGCATCCCGTAACGTTTTGGACTGATTCGATGTCTGTGATATATTATATACGCAACGAGTCAGCAAGATATGCATGTTTTGTAGCTAACAGAGTATCTCAAATTCGTGAACTAACAACTGTTGAGCAGTGGAGGTACGTACCGTCTGGAAAAAATCCAGCTGATCTAGCCTCGCGAGGAGTTATTGATATGAATGTGGTTAAAAATAAGTGGTGGAAAGGTCCAGAGTTCTTGCTAAGGGCTGATAGTATGTGGCCTCGTAGAGAAGATGAACCACCGATAAACGAGTGTGCCTTGGAGTTGAAGACAAGTGTCAGTTTAACATCTACTCAAGAAAGACATTCAGGTTTACATCCACTTTTTAAATATTATTCTTCTTGGTACAAACTACTGAAAGCTGTTGCGTGGTTGACACGATATGTTACGTATTTAAAGGTCATGCATCTTGCGGGATACGAAAATATGAATGTGGGGCCTTTGAGAGTCGAAGATATTAGAAATGCAGAGTTAGCGATTTTGAGGGCTGCTCAGTGGGAAGCGTGGGGTGAGATTGCCAAGGAGGATAGTCCCGATTTCGCAGATTTCAAGGTGCGGTTAGATAGATTATCTCCGATAGTTTCCGAAGGGATCGCTAGAGTTGGTGGACGTCTACAAATGTTAGAATCGTCATATGAGACCCGTCATCCGGCTTTATTACCTTGCTACCATCCAGTCACTGATCTCATTATAAGACACTACCATGTTCTTGAAGGTCATTTGGGTACTTCGCAAGTACTATCAAGTATTCGATGTAAGTTCTGGATAGTGAAGGGAGGTACTGCTGTCCGTAAAATAATTGATAAGTGCATGGAATGTAAACTCCGAAATGCTCGTCCAGTACAGCAGATGATGGCACCACTCCCAGCGTGGCAAGCTTCTGAAGGGAATTATCCATTTGAGTACGTTGGGGTGGATTTGTTCGGACCTTTTGTAGTGAAGAGAGGCAGAACCCTATGTAAAAGATATGGCTGTTTATTCACCTGTTTGAAAATGAGAGCTGTGCATATTGAGATGGTTCATTCGCTAACTACTGATTCATTCGTGCTAGCATTACATAGATTTATAAATCGCCGGGGTGTACCGAAGATGATGTTCAGCGACAGAGGGACTAATTTTGTTGGCTGTCACGCCGAGCTTAAAGAGTACTTCGAAGGTCCCAAACGAGAGTTCAGGAAGAGTTACTGAAAAGGAACATCGAGTGGCACTTCAATCCACCACATGCCAGCCATAGAGGTGGGCTATGGGAAAGACTTATAGGAATTATCAAGCGTATTTTAAGCTCCATAATTAAAAACCAGAGTTTGAATGACGAAACGCTGGAGACATTTTTTTGTGAAGCTGAACGAATATTAAATGACCGGCCGTTATCACCTGTGAGGGACGACGTCAAGGATTTTGATGTGTTAACCCCAAATAAATTATTGTTATTGAGAGGCAACCCTGGCATAGAGGACGCAAGCGGGGAAGGAATACCTACGATTAAAAGATGGAAACAAGCCAGGCACATGAAAGATATATTTTGGAAAAGATGGTTAAAGGAGTATGTTCTAACATTGCAGACCAGGGACAAGTGGAAAAAGTTGTGCCGAAACTTAAAGGTTGGTGACATAGTATTAGTAGCAGATAAATGTGCCACAGGTAGGTGGCCTTTGGGAGTGGTAGTAAGGCTGATCTGTAGTGGTGATGGATTGGTGAGGACGGTTGAGGTGAGAACTAGTTGTGGCATGTTGGTGCGAGATATCAGAAAACTGTGTCTCCTGGAAGGTGCTGAGAGTAGAGAGTCGGAGGATGAAACACTAGACGATTTTCCAACCTAGAGCGTCAACCTGAGAAGGGTTGTAGGCGTACTGGTGTAAGTCCTGCGATTCTTCAAAGGAATTCCATGAAGACATGAACTGCGAGTTTGTGTGTACTGTTTTTATATATGTGTGGTGTGTCATATCAATTGGTGTTTTTGGATTCATTGTGTTTACTCGTTGTTTTCGTACCTTGTTGTTATTGCGTAATTTTGTTAAAATTTTCGTCGTGATTACTCCTGAAGTTGTGTCGAGTCTTCTACATCCGTGAATGAATTGATTGATGTTAAGGACAGCAGATGGGTCGTATACGCCGGGGAGGCTAGGATATTGCTGAGAATGAAATGCACACGGAGATAATTGTTAGCTGCGGTCCAACACGCCAGGGAGAAAGAGTGTAAACGACTGAGGCTCGCATACGTCACCGTTACTAGAACTGAGGCAGAATGAGTGACAAGCGATTGCAGTGGTAATTGACAGTGAATAGATAAGAGGATGTGCGTAGAGTATCGTGAGGTGGTGCTATGGTCACGTTGCATTCTGCAAGAGTCATTCTAGCAAGTGGAGATTGTGTTGCAAGATGTCAAGAGGATACCTTTAACTGGAGGCGCGGGTCGTCATTGATGTGTGAGATTGTGCTGTGAGTATGCTTGTGGTGTGTTGGCTTTTCTGTTTGTTTTCCATTTCAGCTCTGTCCGTGTGACCCAGGTTCTCGCAATGGCATCCAAGTCAACGTGTATTGGTCGTGATAAAAAAAGGGATGGATCACTTTTTTGCCGGGGAGTGTCAATGCAGTTGAAGACTGAACGATCAATTCACGGTTGTTTGCTCAAAATCAACTTCCCCAATTTTCGCGGAGGCATCAACACGACAGTCATCGTCTCATCGGTCGCTGTTCAGAAAGAAGTCAGCAATAAACCGTCAGAAGTAATATCGTGATTTATTATTGTAATATTTGCTCACAGACCCTAGTAAAAATATTATTTTTATATGTTGGTGTAACAATAAAGAATTCTCGAGTGGCCAATCGGTGTTTTGGTTTTTGCGTCCGTTATTACTAAGCGTTTCTGAAAAACTGCAAGGAACAGCGTGGGCCCGAGCGTAGCGAGAGCTGGGCATTAACGGTTTATGAGATCTGGCTGACAATGGGAGTCTAAAGAATTGAATGTCGATACTTTTCCGTTTGATTATTTAGGTGCATTTGGTCCCTTTTTCCTAATCTGGCCTCTTAATCAGTCCACAACTCGCCTCTGTGGTCTAAATATTGCCACCAATCCCTTACACATTTACTGCAGCTCAGTAAGACGATATCTGGAACATCTCCATGGAAACGACAATGTCCACAACCTTTAAATTGCCTTAGGCAGATTCAGTAGAAGACTAGATAATAAAAAGTTCACACACGAAGTCAATCTTGAGTGATTTGGAGGATTCGTTAGCATGCCTCTGTCCAAAAGAGTTCGGAAAAATCGTTGTGCTGGACATCTACGTAACTTCTGGGAAACTGATCAAACCGAAAGTTCGCTGTAAGTTCTACAATCCTCTTTTCCTGATGGGTGACTAATATATGATATCATATTGAAGTGCGTGATCGCGGTATATCTTTTAAAGCTTTGGCAGCAGTCGTGACCTCATCAAAGCCTATTATTCCTCTGTGTTTAAAACCCTAAGCATGACATGTGTCAGGCATCTTTACACCATGAGATACGGTTAGGCAGTGGCTAATACCTGCTTTTCAGACCGGAACCAATAACCCTATTTCTGTTAGTTTTTCGTAGTCCTTCACATTCGCAAACGCGATGGTACTGCCTGATTCATAGTAACATGACACAATGGAGCGTCTAAGAGAGGGTAAATGGGATAAAACTGGGAGAAGCCCTGGAAAGCATTATTCACTGAAAATAAAGAATGCTCCAAGTGCAGTTCCCTAATCCAGAAAGCAACTCAGCTTGCAAACACGAACTCTGATGACAGGAGTGCGCTTTGGCAGTGAAAGTGTGGTGCCAAGACTATGTTACGAATTTGTACTGCACTGCCCTATATTCCCATCCTGATTCATCTGTTATCTTCGAAAAACTACTCGAGATCAACACGAATCCTACTAAATGGTTACGTAATCTCGTAATCCTATGAGGATGTTGCTGCAAACTAATAATACGCAGATTGAAGAAGTAATCTGTCGACAAAAACCTGCTAGCTGTCAAAGTCTGACATTGCGGACTATAGTACTGACACAACTTACACAAAAGTCACTCACAGCAACGTCTGAAGCGGGTTTTCAGCCCTTAAGACCTAGGAGTACTGTAGCGTGATTCATAATCCCTCATTATGGCTGAACGATTGATTACTCTAGCTGGAACTCTACACGCTGATTCCAGCTATTTCTGACAACAAAAATTTAGCATCAGCGACATATCCTTATTCAGAGAAGATCGAAGTCGTCAAAAATTACCGAATGCACAGAAGAAGAATGCACAGAATACGTTGTATTCTCCCGAAATTTTCAGCCGTAACTGATCGAATTCTCAGCCTCATTATGGGTTTGCTTTATTGGTGATCACAACAAGAAGGGAAAGGTGGGCATATAATATCCCACTACATATAAATAACCTCATATCTCTCTCAGGATATGCCAGAGATTCTGAAAACAATTAGGTGGCATTGGCAAAGCACAGATATATCAGAATCAAAGGGCAAGTGCAAAGAAGCCTACTTGTTTATTATTGGGATATTGAATACTGTCCTATTTTTAATTGGCTGTTTCTATTGAGACCCGAAGGTAATGAGTATGGTGGTAATTCGAATAACCATGATCTGAGGCACATTGTGAGAATTCTCAAAAATGCCGGGAGAAAATAATCCACGGAAGATCAAAGTTATTAGTATGGGTGATGAAGACACAGGAAAGGTATATTTATAAGACCAGTGCTTCAAATTGTCCCACAGTCCTGTCTAATAAAGCGGTTTTGCGAAAAGCGTTTTGTTTCAAAATATTCACCGACAATTGGTATTGACTATGGGGTTTTCAGGTAATGCATTTTTGAAATCTAATGTTACAGAACTAAAGTTTCAAACACTGACCTGCGTGTTGACATTTTCGATATGTCAGGAAACCCTGCTTTCTATGACGTCCGAAATGAATTTTATAAAGATGTAGATGGAGCCATTCTAGTTTTTGATGTAACAAAGCGAACAAGTTTTGGGAATTTGATTCGTTGGGTTCAAGAGCTGCATTTTGAGCTGGGTGGTTTGAAGTCTACATCTTTCCCAGTGATAATTGTTTGTGGAAACAAGGTAGGGATTTTAAGGAGTGAGGGTGAAATTTTATCGGTCATAACACAGTACGGTATTTTGTAAGACGAAATCTAATCCTTTCGTGGTTTTGTGCATTTAACAGAGAGTTATTTTAACAGGGTATTCAATTCAGTGCATGAGTTGTTAAAGAATGCTGAAACATAGTCCTCTTTCTGTTAACTTTGTTCTCTTCGCCTATGATTATATTGCTTTGAAAAGCGCTATTCATTGAAGAAATATAGAGGCACCTTTTTCGTCCTGCAAACAGGAGAGACAAGAGTTATTACTTGAAATATCCACTGTCTTTTATACTCGATGTATAGTGATATAAAATCATAGACATTTTGAGAGAATTAAAGTGAACCTTTCAAGATTAATTTCAATTAGGTTGTTTAAGATTCGTGTGTTAATATCATCAAAGTCCTCCAGGAGGGGTTAGACATCACGTGATCTCTTTATTTTCTTATATATCTTTAAGTAATTTACATATGAGATAATGGAAGGTTAGATTCGGATGTTTTGGTTCAGAACAGAAAGCATCAAGGCCGTTTTAATCTTTTTTCATTCTTTGTAAATTCAACAAACATTTGGCTGAGAAAAGTTACATATCATGTGTTAGCATTCAGATACGAGCAGTCAATTCTTGATTCATCTTAGTGACTGGCCGCATATATCCATAATAATGGGACTTCATGTATAGTAAGTTATCGTCAACTTACCAAAAGATCCTGGTCAAATAATACAGGGGACAAGTCAGTTTCTCTCACCTATATCAATCCAGTTTTTGGCTGCTAGTGATTTTCTGTCATTAGAAATGGTATAGGCTTAAAGTAATACACTTTTATGTATATTCCTATGTTCATATGAAGAACTCATCTGCAAAACTCAATATTTTAGGAGTAATCTTTTTAAACTAATATACGTATTTCGCATTATGAATCATATTTCATGTATAAAACAAAATAAATTCGTTGTATTTAAAAAACTCGAACATTTATTGTGTGAACCAAAATTATTTAATGACTAGCGACCGCAAATGAATTGTGACTACAGGTGGTTGCAAAGCTCTTAACCTCAACTTTCGGATTCCTAACTTTACTAAGCTTCTTGATATGTTTAGTAATTTGGCATGTTAATTTCTCGTGACAGTTTACCCTTTATTGATTTTCTTTATATCTTGAACGTAATACAGGTTGACAAACTGCCACGATCAATAAGTTACTATGACGCATCTGAATGGGCAGCTAAACATCAATATCCATATTTTGAAACTTCTGCTTTTAGCGGACACGGTGTTTTAGATACTTTTAATGTAAGTAATTTTGAAAAAATGTCTAGTTAAATATTTATGATTAATCATCATAATCGTCTGATTTACAGGGGGTTTAGCGCTTCACATATCATACTTACTAAGATATCTTTATTTCATTAGTATGTTATTATTATACTATTTCGTATATTTTCCATTTTATCCACTGCTAAATAAGTCATATTTTAAAATATGAATAAAGTGTACTGCTTTAAAGTTAATAAGACCATTAAATGGGGTGTAATCGGTGGAAATACTCCTGTTCAAACCATAGAATCACTGGTGAAATTGTAAATAACATTAGCTACTTGGATTAATTCTTTTCTGAAGCATCATCAAATTAGATAACTTATAACACCAATAGGATGTTATTGTGAACATCGAGAGTCAAAAACAGGTTATAATCCACATGATAACAGCTGTTCAAGTAGGAATTAGGAAGTTAACATCATTTTAAAAAATACTCTTAAGTATGTAGCTGACGCATATTGATAGGACCCAGCATAAAAAATAGTATATCATCGTCCTTTCTCACGAATCATGGGATTTAAATTGTGATGAAGTTTACTATGTGAATGTATCATTTATCACGCATATTGTGATTTATTGTTTGAGATCAATTCATCGTCTTTTGTCTCATCTTGGTTTTTGTCGGATCACCAACCAATCAGAATAGGCATTTCCGGCTAATAAGAACAATGTATTCTCATGGTTGTGAGCCGACTTTATTATGGTTAAGAAAATGTTTAAATATTATGTTTTGTTTCTTAAGCTAGTAAAGTACAATTCAGCATCTTACAATCACAGGCCAGCTTTGTCTTTTGATATTGGCGTGGCTCAGTGAATCGGAAGGCACAACGGACAAATAGACGTATTAGCACACCAGTCGAGTTCATTGCCGTTATGGTAATTAACAGGCGCAGACATAACAAAGTAGCGAACGGATTTATTCAGTTCACTTCAGTTATAAAAAATGGCGATGGAGTTATAACACAAATTATCTTTTTTGAAAGAGGAATAATATTGAACGATGTATGTGGAAGCCATTAAATTAAGCCATATCTTTCTTTTTTCCAAGCAGTAATCAGTTCAATCAATTAATTAAATTAATATCCGTACTTTGGATATTTTTTTTGACTTTTGATTTACACCTTGATTCCACACTGTATTTTTGCTACAAATATGGAATTTTCAGCATGGATATCGGTAGCCCAAATTTTGTAGGCCAACCATAGATATCAGGTGTGCGTCGGCAGGGGATCGAACCTCGGTCCATATGCATGGTCGGAGAGAGTCTTAACCACAGTACCACCGACGCAGTGGGATCCATTTGATTTCAAAGCAGATTCTGTTGAACCCCAGTTAGGAAAACACTAGGAATCACAGAACTTTCCCGAGAAGGCCAGCAGTTCAAGTTGTGGAACTCCGTTTAGTATACAACGGTATAGAAAAGTGCAGTATAATAAGCAGAGATATATGGGAAAATAACAATAACAGGGAAATAACATAATGATTTAGTGGATACGCGAGATAACGAAGAGTGGATGCATCTGCACCATTCAGAACGATCTCAAGCCATTTGTTTTTAGCATCCCGAGGACCCCATCTAGACATCTTTCACCTTCTTGTGTGGCTGAAACAAACAGTCAGCGATTTCACAGATTGGCACTACATTTTGGTTTCACCAATCTTATCTTTTGTCTGTTTACACTGTCTGTCGACGAAGGTGATGGATTGGTATGCGCAAGACATGTCCTAGTCTCATCTCAATTTATTTACCTTAATATTCGCATCGGCTGATTTTCCCTCTCTACCAGACACCTCAGTATTGTTCAGCATATTATACCGTCTAACATGGGCGACTGACCTCCGGTGTTTACGTACTAAAGCATCTAGCCTTTTCATGTCCTCCACTTTCAATATCCATGTCTCAAAGCCAAAGAGGAGGACAGAGCGATATGCTTCGCAATACACACGTCCTTCGATTGATAGCTGGATATCACATCTACGCTAGAGATAATGTAAGCAGTCAAGAGCTACACGAGTCTTTTGTATCTGTGCTCAGATTTCGTCTCTGGCGTAGACGTGATATTCGGCTATCGGCCGAAGGGCGGGTTTACTGTTCGGCAGTTTGCTCCGTCCTCGTTTATGGCTGTGAGACCTGGCCATTGAGAGTGAAGGACATAAAAAGACTAGTTGTCTTCGATCATAGGTGCCTGCGTTCTATCTCCCGTGTGAAGTGGTATAATAAGGTATAAGGTTAGGCGTCGAGTGCTAGGTAGGTGGGAGGGGAAATCTGTCGACGAGGCTGTGAAATTACATCGATTGAGATGGTTAGGACATGTGGTACGTATGCCTAGTCATCGCCTTCCTCGACGAGCACTGTTAGCTGACCTAGGGTCAGGTTGGAAAAGAGCCAGAGGCGGTCAAAACCAAAACATGGCACCAGTCAATGAAATCTACAACAGTTAGTTTAAGCCAGCTACGTAGGAAGGTGTAGACTTCCTGGTTGGGGTCTTCGGGACGGTAAAAACCAATGGCTGGAAACAATCGGTGACATGGCTAACTCAAAATCGTTCTCAATGGCTGGTGCAGATGCATCCACTTCTTGTGACTTATGATTTCCAATGAAACTATATTGTTCTTCGTTATTACTATTCCTTTGTCTCACACTCTGTTTACTGTCTCTGTTATGCCTTTCTTGTACTTACTTCTCTTGCTTTGTGTGCTACATGGAGTATGGCGACTTGAACTGCCGCACATTTGTGCAAAGTTCTATGTCTAAAAGAGACAGACAGACATCAATCGTTCCCTTGAGACTGATACCACTTCTCATATAAGTGAAGTAGTCAACACGCTCCACCACTTCATTTCTTGTCCTTAAAATAGTAGTTGGTATAGACCAGCCCTGTAGCATCGTTTTACATTTAACAGCAGAGAATCCGATCCCAAACATTCGAAGATTCCTGCTCATAATCCTCAGAAGACTGCATTTTGTCAGCATCTTCACCTAGAAGGACAATATCATCCGTATAGTGTAGGCTGATTAGAGTGTCCCTTGGTAACAAGTCAGTCTCTTAGACACTAAAGTCAGTTATAGTCGGTACGATTAGTACATCTATGATGGAATTAAACATAAGTGGGGACAATGGGCATCCATGATGGACACCACTAGTTTTCGTCACTTCAGATGACAACTCTCCATAGGTCAGTTAATATAACTGTACAACACTGTGTGATTTATCAAAATAAAATCTTATCCATAATGGAGTTATACTCTACCGCAGTGCCCAAGTCTTATACTTACATCAACTCTCCATAGGATCTTACATGGCTGAGTGAGTTCCAGTACAGTGTATTGACCAGTGCAATATAAATTCTCAGCACTCCCTTCACTACCAAATATTGCTGCGGCACCTCTCGGTAGACGGGGTCAGCTGCCACTTTCAAGTGAAGGTAATATAGTAAATACTGGTTGCCGGTAACTGTGTTGTAACCTGAGTTAAAGATGGAAGATCGGTATGTAAATCAGCAGTATACAGCAAAGTACTAGGCCGCATCATCCTGGAGAGAATCAAACACACCCTCGACCGGAAGAGGCTCGATTCAGGAGAAACAAGTCGTGCATCACCAAATCGCAACACTACGGATCATCACTGAACAGAGCTTAGAATGACAGTCAGCTCTCCACCTCACTCAAATTCATTGACTTTGAAGAGCCCCCGAGAGCATCGATCGAGAGGTGATTTCGAAACTACTTCGCTACTACTAGGTATCGCCAACAATTATCCATCTCATCCAACAGTTGTACGACAATGCTGCATGTAGAGTAATCCACAACGGGAGGCTCACGGAATCCTTTGAAGTGAAGACGGAAGTATGACAAGGCTGACTACTGTCTCCAGTGATTAATTTCTTGATTGCGGGCAGTAGACTGGCTAATGCGACAAACAGAGGCGGGCATCGAGGAAACAGGTATAAAATGGACACACACAAAAAACTTGGAGTATCTGGACCTCACCGATGATATATGTCTGGTTTCCCACAAATTGGAAGACATGCAAGTGAAAAGCAACAAGCTGGCGAAAGAGGCATCCAGAGAGGAAGGAATTCAGGTGAACATAGAGAAAAACAGAGGCGATGAAGATTCCTGGCCAATAGCAACAGCAGCCACAACAACAGACAACAATCAGCCAGAATAAATGGGAGAAACCTGAATGAAGCAACCTCCTTTAACTACCTACCTACCTGGGAAGCATCGTTTCAACAACAGGCGGACGGAACTGACGAGGATATCAAGGTGACGATAAGGAAAGCAAGACGAGCTTTCATTTCTCTCAAGTCTGTGTGGAGATCAACAGCACATAGCACTCAGCCTGTCAAATAAGATCCATATTTTCAACTCTAATGTGAAGCAAGTACTACTCTACACGGATCAGAGACTTGGCGTTGCGCCGCGCCGTGTCACAAAGGGCACTTTGAACAAACTGCAGACCCTCATCAGCAGCTGTCTTCGCTCAATACTACTCAAGATCAGATGGCCGGCTAGAAAAGATCAGCAACAGGGATCTCTAGAAATGTACCAACCAGGAACCAATTGTGCAACAAATATGCAGGAAGAAGTGGAGGTGGATTGGTGGCCATACTATGAGAAAACAAACCGTCATCAAGTAACATCACATGCCGGGCCATCGCTTGAGTGGAACCCGGAATGGAAAGCGGAGAGTTGGTCAGTACGAGGGAGACAAGAATGAGGTGATGCAAAAAGTGGATGAAAGCATTCGGGCAGACATGGAGTTAGGTGAAAATGTTGGGAGAGAACCTAATGCAATGGAGACGTGCGGCTGAAGGCCTATATTCCTCGAGGAATTAAAGGAAACCATAAAATAATAGTAATAATATAGCATCATGCAAAATATAAATTGAAATTCAATTCAAACCCCTTACAAAATAAAACGGGCAATCTAAAAATAAACAAAATTGCATGAAATGTGATCAAGATTTGCGCAAATTTATTATTATTATTATTATTAACCATTCTACTATACACAGCAAACAGTGGGTGAAAATGTTCAAATAAAATTCATAGTGTTTAAGTATTGGGTTGTAGGGATTTGGTTGATTAGTTACAGGACTTCATCATGAGCTGACATTGGTTAGAGAACCATTGGAGGGAGTACTGGACAGCCAGCTGTTTCGTCATAGTTTGGGACTCTTCATCAGTACGCACCCACTGCCAGGGTTCGAACCTAGGACCTTCGGGTTACAAGGCTAGTGAGCTCGTAGACCATTAAGCCATTGGGACCCGATCCAATGACCAGCCAGTCCATGAATTCTAACTTCTGCCAGTTCACGATATTGCGCAACTGCTAGCCAATGTCTTCGACGAGCATTTGTCCTCACACCCAACCTACTGCACCCTACTGGTCACAACTTTCCACTAGAACTCAGGTAACTACCTACCTGAATAGAGTCAGACACCATTGAACACTTCATTGATATTCAAGTATATTGGTTTGTAACTAGAAGGTCCTGGTTTCGAACCCTGTCGGTGGGTGCGTACTGCTGAGGAGTCTCAAACTAGGATGAAACAACTGGCTGTCCATTACTCTCAGCTGGTTTTCCAATGGTTCTCTAACCAATATCAGCTCATCCTGATGAAATCCTGTAATCAAAGTTCATAGTGCTCTAAAGAAGTTTGAACAAGTTTGTTGAACTAAACGTCAGAATTAATTATTTCAATTTTGTGTTTTATACAATTTACAGACTTTATTTGAAAGTATTATTAATCCAGATGTCTATCAGTCTAATATACCTACTGATAAATATCAAAACTGTTCAACTCGTACAGAATCCAATCATACCAGACAATATTCAACACAGAATACTTCAAAATTCAACCAACCTCTGAATGAAAGAATTCAAACAAGTGTGAAAGGTTTCCCTTCACCATCAACATCATCTTTATCAAATAAATCAAGTGAAAATGAATCATTCAAGGTGAAACATCTACATATTCATGAAATAAATCGAATTAAAAATGCTAAAAATGATTATGAACGTTTAGGAGTCAGTATAACAGCTAATAGGTAAGTTGAAAGATACACATCGTTTAATGGATAATGGGTAGAAGAATTTAGACACTATTGTGGTAGAATATTATCTAATATTAGATATTATAGATATATTATAAATATTATAGATATTATTAGATATTATTATTACTGCTTCCTTTAGTTCCTAGAGGAACGTAGGGCTTCAGCCGCACGTCTCCATTGCGTTTCATCTTCTGCCAACGTCTTCACCTGCCTCCACATCTACCCACATCCTTTCATCCCCTCTCCACATGACTTCCTTCATATCACCCTCGGACTGACGACCAACTCGCCACTTCTCGTTCGGATTACACTCGAACGAAGACCTGGCGTATGATGTCAATTAATGGTTCGGTTTCTCAGAGTATGGCTACCAATCCACCTTCAATTCTTCCTGCATATTTGTTGAAAAATCGGTTCCTGCTGGGTTGGTTCGCTCACAGAGATCCATGTTGCTGATCCTCTCTGGCCGACCATCTGATCTTGAGTGGTGTTGAGCGAAGACAGCTGTTGATGAATGTCTGTAGATTGTTCGAAGTGCTCTTCGTGACGCGGCGTGGTGCCGATTCTCTGATCTGTATAGTAACACTGACTGACTTCACATTGGAGTTGAAAATCCGGATCTTATTTTTCATTCTGAGTGCTGTGTGCTGTTGATCTCCACACAGACTTGAGAGAAATGAAAGCTCGTCTTGCTTTCCTTATCGTCGCCTTGATATCCTCGTCAGTTCCGTCCGCCTGTTGTTGAAACGATGCTTCCCAGGTAGGAAGGTAGGTAGTTAAAGCAGGTTGCTTCATTCAGGTTTCTCCCATTTATTCTGGTTGATTTTTGTCTGTTGTTGTGGCTGCTGTTGCTATTAGCCAGGAATCTTCATCACCTCTGTTTTTCTCTATGTTCACCTGAAGTCCTATCTTCTCTGGATGCCTCTTCTGCCAGCTAGTTGCTTTTCACTTGAATGTCTTCCAATTTGTGTGAAATCAGACATCTATCATTGGCGAAAGCCAGATCTCCCAGGTACTTTTTTGTGAGTCCATTTTATGCCTGTCTCCTCTTTGCACGCCTTTGTCTATCGCATTATCCAGTCTATCACCCACAATCAGGAAAATCATTGGAGATAATAGGCACCTAACCAGTCTCGTCTTACTCCTGTCTTCACCTGGGTGGAATCCGTGAGTTTCCCGTTGTAGATTACTTGATGTGCATCATTGTCGTAAAACTGTTTGGTGAGGTGTATAATTTTTGGCGGCATCCCGTCTCGATCGACGCCGTCGAAAGCCTTTCCAAAGTCGACGAATTCGAGTGAGGCGTAGATCTGACTGCCGTTCCAAGCTCTGTTCAATGATGATCCGTAGTGTTGCGATTTTATCGATGCATGACTTGTTTCTCCTGAATCGAGGCTGTTCTGTTCGAAGTTTTTCATCCAGGTCGGCTTGTTTGATTTTATCCAGGATGATACGGCTTAGTATATTGCTTGGGATGGACAGTACTGAATAAGTTTATTCGATATTATTTGGGTGCATGGTAACTTTGCAGTGGAATCCACCAGGATGCACATTTCGTTCTGTTTGCGATTCATCAGCTGGATGTATATCTACGAGTTGTGGGCTACTGCCAAAATTTATCAGTAGTATACAAAGAGACGTTGATTGGCACAAAAGTATCAAGTAGCGGAGCGATAGATTTGACATCATAGACAGGAAATGAACCAACATTGCGGTAAAACATTTCAGACACGAAAAGATGACAAAGAGACACAATATACGACAGAAGAGCAGAAGTAGCACGACACGGAAGATCTTCATATAAGATGTACGTAATTTCCCTATACAGAGATATCGAATTACAAATAGACATTCCGTTACCAAGTCTGTTGTGTTCTGCCGTTATATCTGCAGTACCTATTGAGTGTTGGTGTTACCATTGAGACTGGAACTCACTACGCTTCGTTTCATTTATTCATTTCAACAAGTTTATTAGATAAAAGCATAGTGTGATATATTGTCATTAACAGGATACAGCCATATTAATTGCACGTGTTTCTAGTGTCGATTTGATAAACAAAATTTTCAAGTATTGGCTTTGTAGTGATTTTGTTTAACTGGTTGGAAGATTTCATCATGAACTGACATCGATTAGAGAATCATTGAAAAACCAGCTGGAAATACTGGACAGCTGTTTCGTCCTAGTATGAGACTCCAGTGAGAAGCCGTAACCAGTGGAGTACAGCAGATTGAAGGTAAGGGCAGTTACTCATCGAAGACATTGTTAAGTGGTCACGCTATGTCGTGATTTTGGCAGAAGTTAGAATTCATGGACTCGCCACTTGGAAAAGGCTTATTGGTCTATGAGCTCTCCTTGTAGACAGAAGGTCCTGAGTTCGAACCCCTGTGGTGGGTGTGAACTGATGAAGAGTCTTAAACTCGGACGAAATAGCCAACTGTCCAATACACTCCCTGCATGTTTTCCAATGGTTCTCTAACCAATGTCAGCTCATGCATGATGAAATCCTCCAACGCGTCAAACACAACTTTGGCGAATAATCTCTCTCTCTCCCTCTCGCTATCTAAATATAATACTTTTTATTACTTTCACCTTGTCTCACTCATCCTACTGTGCGATTACATGTAAATTAATACATTTCAGTGGCCGAGGTTTTGTCTCGATTATTTAACTCAACACAGTCAGTCATTCTCTATCTAGCTAAATTCTTATGTATAATGGAAAAGATTTGTAGCTCATGGTGGATGATTTCGATGTAATTGTGTTCTCTGAGCTGGATGGTTTATACTTGCGAAGATTTCATTTACCCCTACTAGGCAACATCTTCAGCGCATACACACTTCAGTTCGAAGGAGTGAGCTTTTAGATTTCTCCACGAGTTGTTTATAAGTCATGTCTCCTGGTTGATGGTGACCTTGAGCAACGTCGTGATTAGGTGTTTTTGTGTGTTTTCACACTCTCCAGGCGACTTGTATGTATTCAGATAACTTGAGTGACTCTGGCATACTAGTCCGACCTATTCACTTGACCTCATACTTAGTACATGATATTTAGTAAACCATATTATTTTTCCATATAGGATCTGTCGGCTCCATATACCCACAAAATTAGTCGAATTCGCAGTTTGCAAATTAGTTCCCTTTGAAAACTGAAATGATTGAGGTCAAAATATATAATCCACTTAATATTATAAATGCCGATCAAGAAAGTAGGAATAAATGCATGACGTCATATATTACTAATCAACTGATATGAGTAGTTTAGGTGCCATTCACATCAACAACCAGTACTGCTTATCATCTAGCCAGCTAGACTAAAGTGACGTAAACACTGGACAGCCATTTCGCTTATGTGCGACTTGGTGTACTGTGTTCTGCTAACCTCAGAGATCCAAATCACTTTAAACTACCAGGTTTCTGTCTAGCTACTTGAGTGTCACTCCATTTTCATAACATTAAATCATGAAAATGATAACAAAACAGAAAAAGTTTTGTCAAACTTTAGATGGCTGTAGGCTGTAAACAGGAAGCTCTGGATTCATGGTTTCGTATCTACTGACACTCATCAGCAAGCCATATCTCCAATCTTGAAGAAACTGATATCCTTAATGAGATTTGAACATGCGTCACCCAGCATTGCCGTCAGAAACGTTACTACTGAGCTGTCTTGGCTGGCGACTGATCTTCTGTAGGATTGCATTGTACTTATTGATTAGACACCTGGAAGTAAACAGTGTTACGTGTCTAGTTCTTGGTGATGGTTCCGATGGGATTCTACCAACCCATTAAAGATACTTTTGATTGGACACTATCTAGTGTCATGTGTCTAGTCCTTTTGTTTAAAGAAGACCGAATTCTATCAGTCAAGTTTGCGATGTAGCCACCATTACAGTCTGAAAGAGGTTGAATCTTCACCTGAATAGCCCAGTGATAGTGATATAGACAGCAGTACTTGCTGACGCGGGGTCGTACTTCAGAGGTGTGAATTTCTCCCGAAAGAAATCAGAAACGATAATCCAAACTATGGATTTAACCACACGTAGAGTGACGCGTAAAGTCCAAAATACAGGATATTCTGCAATACGGTACTTTATTACATAAAAATAGATATATAATATACAAACCTCAAAATGTGAGGTGTCTGTGGCTAAATGCCGTCAAATGCACAACCACTGTGCAGTCAATAAGTAAAAACAGCAATGCTGTGTCAAGGTCGATCCACGTGTCGGTTCAAACGGCCCGCGAATGCCAAGCAAAGAATAAGCAAATATGAAAAAACAACTTTCAATAGTGAAGCATACACTATAGGGTAAATGCAGCAAATAATGTTTAAGGAGAAGAGAAATAAGAACTATACATTAATAGAATGATAATAGAACAAGTGATTTAACTGCAGTTGTAAGGAAATGTCATTGTTATAAATTAACATATAAAAATCATACTACTTACTAATGGCAAGTAGTATAATGTTGAACAGAGGAAAGATTGAGAATGAACAGGTAGGAGCGGAATTAACAAGAGGAGACCTCATTTCCTAGAAGTTTGTCGGCACATCGTCCTGTGGAGTTCCAATAAAAGCGAAAGTTTGGTATGCGATAGCAGTTAAGAAGTAATATGTTTCTACATGTAATTATTCTAACAGGTACTGATACTGACATTATAAAAAGACAGTGTGAAATTCCTGGAAAACTAATTTCATCACCCAGAAATTGTATTCAAGTTGAATTCTGAAATAGAGGCGAAGCGGGAGACCTTTGAATAATTCCTTATATATATAAAATGATAGATGGTTGAGTTTCTGTTGACTAAACAACGTCATCCACTTTCCAGGGTGATCTATTCTACTCTTCTAATAAAGAATTTTTTTGTTTGTTGATTGACTTATATTAAATTGAAATGTACGGCCTCTGTTTACTTGTCAACTCCTAGTACGGACAGTGTGACTGTGGTGAGAGCTGGCTGCTAGCCAAATCGGTAGACAGTAATTTACGTCAATGTTTACGTCCTCAATATTGGTCGTGATAAAAATATAAATGAAGACTGATCCAACAACCAACCACAGCAGCCATTGCGTAGGCAGATACAGTTAGCATATAGATGATCTGACATTCAAGAAAAAGCCACAGAGAGATGAAAGACTCACTTTCAGTGAGAAAACAACCAATCAGAAGACTGTGTTTGTTTGCTTACAATAATTTATAAAAACGTACATGAAAATCTATAAATATGTGTTGAATTCCTTAATAAACGATCTGTTGCCTGGCTCTTTCTTTCTGTTGGTACATGACGACGTCTGAAAGTTACCATTGATGTTATTTAGGTGTTGGCTAGTAGTGGAATCCATGATGCGAATTTCGGCCCTATTTAGATCTCGTCATCTGGATCTGCCTGCATCCCCATTGCATTACGTTTGAGTTTTAGTAAGAACACCATCAATCACTGGGGATTCAGGTATATTCAGATGAAGAGCCCCAAATTGGACAGTATGTAGATCTTGGATTCCATGTTAGTTTTAAAAAAATTGGTATAGCGTCCGTATTCAGTGTCGATATGTAAACAGATACTAAGCATTTCAGTCCAAAACAACATGAAATATAAACAAATGACCACTGCTAACCATTTTACAAAAGGTGTTATTCATGGAATAGTGTATGATGGGTTGGGTTTGAATCCCACTTGCGGCATTATAGTAACGGGGGACTGTGCATACATTCAGCTAAAAAGTCCCAAACAGGACGAAGTTTGCACTCTAGATTTCATCCTGCCAGCAATCATCGATCACATAGCATTATTCCTTTCAATGTTCAATAAATGACCATTTACTCGTTTGACGAAAGGTTAAAGTAAACTTTTGAATGTTAAATCACGAAAAATACCATTTAATCATAAGTAAAAACACAGTGTTTTTGTTCAGCGAAGAAATTTCTTTTCAACGACTTCATTTTCAAGCTGTGCATTCATATTTATATTACAGAAAAAGTTATTAAGTGGCACTAAATAATTGCTCAGTCAATATACATATATATGTGATAAGAATAACGCTAATTAAAATCTTATAAGGGGTAGAGTTGAGGTGGATAAATTACAAAAATATCAAACATTGTTTTATAAGTGAATTGATATAAAAATGTCAAGTGCTGTCTAAAAATTTTAAAAATTAGGAGTACGATTACGATAAGAATAAAGATGTGAAGTGAAATGAATTCAAGTGGTAAAATAAAAACTAGAAAGAACATTACTATAACCAAGGTAAAGACAGGGGTTTGACAAAAGTGAAGAAAACGTAAACTTTTGGAGCGATTCGATTTTGCTATGTAGATAACCTTGAAGGATGAATCACGTGGGGCTAAATGACCAGACTCTAACAGGTGTTCACAAATAGATGATTTCGTAGTTCTTCGTTCGCCTTTCATTAACTAAACCGGATAGTGTTCAGCTACACGTTTTCGGAGAGTACGCTTACAACGTCCAATATAATCAGCTCCATAGGAGCAGGTAAAAGAGTAAATGCACATAGATGTGGACAAAAGCGGTAATCTATCCTTGACGCATTGTCTAATCATATTTAGGCTGGTAAAAACTAGTTGCAAGTCAACTGTAGGAAAAGTGCGTTTAATACGTTCAGACAAACGATTTTTAATCAATTCTGAAATGGTGTCACCTTTGAATGCAAGACTCATAAACAGTTTTTTCTTTGGCACTGTGATTTGTCTAGGGGCGAATTCTTTCTTGACGTTAAGTTCAATAAACCTTGTAGGATATCCATTGTTAAGGAGATTTGATCGAAGGTTATCTAGTTCACTATCGATTGTCTCTGGGGAGCAGATTTTACGAATTCTGGAGCATAAGGAATGAATAAGATTTCTCTTTCTCTCTAAAGGTACCCAACTGTTGAAGTTAGTGTACTGCCCTGTGAATGTTGGTTTGAAGGGATTTTATTGATGTTTAAGTTAGATAACGAACTGACATCAGTTAGAGAATCACCAGAGACCAAGCAATTCTTGATAGCCAGCTGTTTCATCCTAGTTTGGGAGTCCTCATCAGTAGACACCCATGACAATACCACTAAGGATTGAACCTAGAACCTTCGGGTTACAGGCCAGCTCATCCTTGATTCAAACACTGGGATGGAATCCATTGACTCCATCCAATTCATAATTTGTGACTCCATTGCAAGACAGTGCTGCCGTTGGACAAGACTTTCCACTAGAACTGCAGGCAACGTCGTCGTGTAGCCAGTCATAAGTGAGCACTAGATTCATCTTCAACTGTTGGTTTGCAGCGGTTCGATTGTTTTCAAAATTTGATCACGGATTGATATAAGATAAAACAAATGATAGAACCATTTTCTTATTTCATTACTTTTGCTCATTTTTTCCTTCTTTGTAGTGATGATATACAAAGAGCATTTCGACGTTTAGCCTTTATTCTACATCCTGATAAAAATGATGCCTCTGGAAGTGAAGAAGCCTTCAAGATATTAGTGAAAGCAAAGAATACCCTACTTTCAACGAAAAATGGATCCAGTTGGTTTAGTTCTTAGCTCATCTCATTTTTTCATATATATATATATATATATATATATATATATATATATATATATTGCTGTGACAATAAACTAGTGTGATTTAACTAATATCTGTGATAATATGCATAACTTTTTATAGGAGATATTATTTCACCATGTAGATTTGTTATTTTTATTAATGCATTTTTACTACTTATGAGTAGAGTGATTATTTATTTGAAATAAAACAGTTCTTATGATGTTAATTTTCCAAATAAAACGTTTCCAAGTTTTAGAACATGTGGTTTTATTGATCTTAGGTAAGATTTCACCATGAATCGAATGTGAGAAATTGGCGGGGGGAGGGTATTGAACAAATGGTTCGTCCTAGTTCGGGACTCTAGCAAATCACGCACCACGGAAAGAACCAACGAGTTTCAGCTTACAAGGTGGATCGTGAGATTAGGCCGCTAAACATCTGGCCACTGAGAGAGAACCTGATACCCCATCAGTTGTGCATTTTTCCACCAACAGTTGTCACCGCTGGAGAGCGTTTGCCCTGATATACGATTTGGTGAACTTCTCAATAGAACACCCGGCAAATTCGTGGTGTAGTCAATCACTAGTGAGGGTCAGATTAATTTTCATATGTTAGTTTGTAGAAATGTTAGTTACAAAACCATTGAAAACCAGGAAATGTTAGACGGCTGTTTTATCCTCATTCGGGATTCATCGTCAGTACGCCGCCATCAGGTTTTGAACCTAGAATCATCCTTTACAAAACAAGCTTGTAGACCATACGGTCATTTAGACCCGACTGACGAATTCTAACTTCTACTGATTCGTGATTTTAGCGCTGCTGGCACCAGCCAACGTCACCGATGGCGAGTTTTTGTCTTCACCCCCCCCGCCCTACGGTTGTAGCCCAGTAGTCACGACTTCTCAATAGAGCTCCATGCAACTTCGTCTGAAGCCAGCCAGTCACTAGCGAACACCAGATTGATTGTGGAGGTTAGAATTTTATAGGTTGACTTTTTAGTTGTCTTCTGGTGGCTAAATGGTCTACGACCTTGCATTTAACCGGAGGGTCTTGAGTTCGAATCCCGGTGGATGCGTACTGCCTATGAGTCCCAAATTAGGATGAGACAGCAATCCCCTTAATACTTCTTGGTGGTTTCCAACGTTTCTCTAACTAATCAAATTTTTTAACAAAATTAGGTGATGTTAAACTATAGGGTCCAAGAGGTGCGAAGTTCCAATAGCCTTGGATAGATAATAGTCGCTGGCTAACGACACCTGGCATTATTTAAGCGCATATATATGAACGCTAATCATCAACTAAGGAACAAATTTTACCCAGACCACGTTTCTAAGTACTGTTTGGACAATGTGTTAATAGCTCGTTAGGGTTATAATCAGGATTACGGCTAGGATAATAGTTATAATTAGGGGTGAAGATTAAGGTCATGGTTACGATTAGGGATAAGTTTGGAGCTGGTATTATTGATTTTAATTTGTTTCACTATCCACATTTTCCTAATAATTAGTCGTCGATCCTCTTACTGTAAACCATGTAACAACAAAAGACAAGGGGCAGGCAACAGATCGTTTATTGAGGAAATCAACACGTATTTATTTATTTATTTTCATGTACATTATTAAAGCTTATTCAAGCAAACAAACACAGTCTTCTGATTGGTAGTTTCTCACAGAAAGTTAATCTTTCATCTCTCTGTGCTGTTTCTTGAATATCAGATCATCTATATGCTATTCCATATCTGTATGCTAACTGTATCCGCCTACGCAAAGTGTGCTGTAATTTTTTTGTTGAATCAGTCTTTGTTCATATTTTCTCACGACGAATATTTGGCACACACACACATATTGACGTAAAATACTGTCTACCACTTTTGGTTAGCAGCCACCTCTCACCACAACCATAGTAAATCAAGCGAGGACTGCAAACCAGGATAAGAGTGATGAACGGGTTACAAAAAGAGCTCGCCTTAAGTCACCTCGGTGAATACATGTACAGAAACTGGTCTTACTTAGCAACTGATACTCGTCATTATAACTGGGACGTATTTTTAAGTCATCTCACAGAAAGGTACACTGTTTAGTGTGTTTTCATGAATTTTCTTGTAAATAAACGTCATTTTGTGTGTAAAAATCACATATTTTTATGATTGGTCGACTCAAGGTCACTCGTGCGTTCTCATCCCTTGGGGATCTATCTATGGTTTCACTCTGCCAAAATCGTTCATTGTGCTAATTCTTTTGATTTTGTTGTCGTGTTGTGTGAGCTGGATGTCTCGTTCACCTGATAAACTCTTATAGTCCCTATTCTAGTCAGCATATCTTCAGGGTGAAGTTATTTTTTTGATTACTAAACTCTTCACGGATTTCTTAGTAGTTTCTGTCTTCAAAGGCCCAGTTGGTACTCAGACTAAAGTTAACACGACAGACATTTTGACACAGATCGATTATATCAATCAATAAAGAATGAGTCACATAGTTTAAAGGTCTAATACCTAGTTAAAGCAGTGAACACAGGGATAATTAAACCCCTGAAGACAACTTATCTCAGCCAATGGTCATTCGGAGAGGTGGATATACATATATTTATACGTATTTTGATTGGACACTAGTCAGCGACAAGTGCATCAAACAAAGTATCCAATACAGTCCTACAGGAGGTCAGTCGCAAGCCCGAATAGCTCAGTGGTAACGTCTCTGATTGCAATACTGGGTAACACGGCTTGTAGATACGCCTGATGATGAGTGTCAAATAGTGCGAAATCCAGGTCAGGCAAGGCTTCCTACCGACTGCTTTCAACCATCTAATATATACATATTTATATATCACCTACGAAGAATTTCAGAAAACTAACTTCACATAGAATTTAGAGCTGAAGATTTTGGGACAGATAACAGGAGTCTCACAATTCAGACCACCTAACTCAGAGGATACAATCATCCAAGTGTGTTAATTGTATGTTTGGTTGAGAAAGCAAACAGCCTTGTCGTCTTCAGGGCCCCTAAAAAGCCTTATCGGCGAAGTTAAACTTTCGACACCACCAACTACCAATCAGCGAATTATCCAATGAGATTCACGAACGATATCGAATTATCCAATGAGGTTCACGAACGCAGTTCAATGTTGTATAGCGCTTGATTCATTTCTAATGCGCGACCTTACAAAGCTATTGTTGCAATTCGAGGAGGTTAGCGTTTTCCAGTATTTCCTGGATTTGAGTTGCGCCGGAAAGAGCGAATTTGTTTGTGTGGTGGTATCATGACTTTAAAAAGCTATACCAAATCAACTGATGGGTTTATTCATCGTTGTGCTATATGTTTGAAGCCTACTAACGCTAGAAAGAGTAAGCTGATAATTTTAATATTTCGTAGGAACTTTTTTCGCTAGGTCGCTTCTCTCCCTAAGCATAGCAGATAGAAAAGCAACTACTCTTATACCTATTATTACCAGACTTGTTAAGCGGGGGTCAATTATACACACCAACGAGTGGAAAGGCTACAATTCACTGTCATCTCTGGGATATATTCATCATAGAGTCAACCATTCAAGTGATTTTGTGGATCCCGTTACAAGGACACATACAAATTCTATTGAAGGATTTTGGCGCAGGTTGAAAAATAAGATAAGGGCTATAAACGGATCTCATTTATGGTCATTTGGATGAATATATGTACAGGATATGGTGTAACTTCTCCATTGACAGTCCCATGCTAAACTGGGAGATGTTTCTCTCACATGTTCGAGAAAGATATCCCATATAACTTTTTTATTCTCTATTTTATGCTTTTTTCTACAAATATACATTTCCATTCATCATATATGCCTCTTTAATGTGACTGGTCCGTTCAAGGTCGTTTGCTGATTGGTTGTTAGTGGTGTCGAAAGTTTAACTTTGCCGCCTTATCATACCAGAGAAGAGGAAATATGATCACAAGTGGCTTCGGTTAATATCTTGTTGATAATCATTGTTGTAAGATATTTCTAAATATATGTAACAGTTTAGAGTGTCTTAAAAAGTTTTTTTTTGGTTTTTATTTGAGGCAGTTGAAAACTAGAAGGCGAATAGCGTGGCCTTGGAAAACTTGTCAGTTCCATAATTTCAAACTGTTTTTTTTTGCAGCTTACATTCTCGATTTATGAAGATGTTGTGGCCTCCAAGCTAAAGTCCTGCTTAGCCTACTTTCACCTTGACACTTGAGTAGTCTCCGTGTAGATTTTGTGCCATGAATCAACACCAGTTAGAGCTAATCATTGCAAGCTGTCCAGTACTGATCAGCTTGTGGTGAGAGGTATCCGAAATTGTGGACAACAATTTACGTCAGTGTTTACGTTCCGAATCGGGGTCATGACAAAAAACAGCAACAAAGCCTAATCTTGAGGAACTTACCAACCGATCACAGAGGAAATAACGTGTGCAAATACGATTCGCAGACATATGACTTAACTTTCTGAGAAACGGTCTCAAGCAATACAGAATAACCTTCAACGAGAAAACAACCAATCAGAAGACGTTGCTTCTCCGCTGACAATCATGTACATAAAAATCTACATCTGTTGATTTCCTCAATAAACGATCTGTTGTTCGGCCCTTGTCTTCTATCGTTACAAAGTTCTCAGTTGTTCTCTTGAATTGAAGGTCGTGGGTTCAATTTCTGACGGGGCGATGGGTACACACTTTTCAAGGATCTCAAATTAGGAAGAAACAGTCAGCCTGTAATTACAGAAGACAACCAGGCAACAGATTGTTTATTGAGAAAATCAACAGATATTTATAGATTTTTATGTACATGACTGTCAGCGGAGAAACAACGTCTTCTGATTGGTTGTTTTCTTACTGAAGATTATTGAGACCCCAGAAATGTGCGTACCCATTGCCCCATCAGGAATTGAATTCACGACCATCATTTCAAGAGAATAACTGAGTTGCATTTAGGGCCTTTGTTTTTCATGATGTCTGAAAGTGAAATGAAAATCTTCACCACGACAGGAGTCGAATCAG